ATATGAACTCAGGCAAAGCGCTTGCGAAAAGCCAGGGACCAGATTCACGAAAGCACTTACGCAAACACTTACGAGCCTGTACATCTTTTCTCAATCTTTGGCGGCCTTGTTTCCAATTATTAAACAGTTAATGAGCTCCGAAGCACCAGGAGGCTGTTTATATCAATAACAACAGTTGAAAGGGAAGTTTTCATGCTTGTAAACTGTTTAATAAATGTAACAAAAGCCGTCAAAGGTTGAAGAAAGATGTACACGTTCGTAAGTGCTTGCGTAAGTACTTTCGTGAATCTGGCCCCAGGCAGTTACGGGCTATTCATGCCCGTGCCACCTTTTGGGTAACTTAATCTTTGTCATTCAATCATCGTCAGGCGAGTGTCTTACCGCTACGCCACGGGGACTGCTAAACTTATAGACTTATAAGTTTACTTATAAGTTACTTATAACTATATAACTATATATAACTACGGGGGCCTCGTAGCCTGGTGGATAGCGCGCAGGACTCGTAATTCTGTGGCGCGGGTTCGATTCCCGCACGAGGCAGAAACAAATGGGCAAAGTTTCTTTCACCCTGAATGCCCCTGTTACCTAGCAGTAAATAGGTACCTGGGAGTTAGTCAGCTGTCACGGGCTGCTTCCTGGGGGTGGAGGCCTGGTCGAGGACCGGGCCGCGGGGACACTAAAGCCCCGAAATCACCTCAAGATAACCCAAGATATAAGTCTTGTATAGACTTATAGCTACATAGTCTGTCCGGCTTGGTACCTTCTTTTGATAATTACATACTTATTTATAGTGACATGAACAATTGTGTACTGATCTCGAGCAAATTAACAGACATTTTCTAATTATCACACTTTGCCCGTAGCAGTACAAAACACAATCCTTCCTCAGCTTCAATATCAATTGTGAAAAATTGTATTCTTTGCATATCGAATTCTGATTAGTGCTTAGTATATACTATTTACTATATATGTAGGTATATACACTGCTATTAGCTATAAATTGTAGCATAAACTACTATTAGCCTTATTTCTAAGTATATACGTTGATATTGGCTGAATGTATAATATACAACAAAATATATATATCACAATATGTTCATCAATTAACAGTTAAAGAATGGGCAGAGAGAAAGAGAGAGAGAGAGAGAGAGAGAGAGAGAGAGAGAGAGAGAGAGAGAGAGAGAGAGAGAGAGAGAGAGAGAGAGAGAGAGAGAGAGAGAGAGAGAGAGAGAGAGAGAGAGAGAGAGAGAGAGAGAGAGAGAGAGAAAGGGGGGAAATATAAACTACAAATAGAGAAAAACAGAGGCCAGTAGACAGACAGATCTGGAAGTGAAGATGGAAAATGGCAACCTAACCTAACCTTAAACGCGCTTCCTGGACGTTGTGTTTACCTATAATTGTTATGATTCAGAAACCACCCTTTAAGCTGTTCCTGAAATGCGTCGCCAAAGTTGTATAATACAAATACTTGACAAAGCCTCACCATGTGGTGCAAGTAAGGTCATGGGATACAGGGCGTTCATGATGACAGTGTTTTGATTCGTAACAATTGTTGCGCTGGAAACCTTTGTAGAAGCATTCTGTCACTTGTAGCACTATCACTATCTTAAGTTTGGCATAAAAGAAAACCTCTTCTACACACCAAGGGTTCTGGAGGAACCCCCAGGGTCCTCAGATAGGCCTCCATAACATGAATTTTGGGGTTTGTGGAACCCTGGAGGGGACTTGAGAGGGTTGGTCCATATTAATGAAGATTTTATAAAATTTTAGGTTGTTTTTTGTGAATATGTGACCCTCCCTCCCCCCTCCCCTGCTCTTCACCCGAGCAACGCTGAGTCCCTCAGTTACTTACGTACTTCAGCACGGTCAGACAGGCCAGTGCAATGGTTCAACCATACACTCCTGAATGGTGTTGTATTTTACTGTATTGTCGCAAACTCTGGTATTCAACGGATCTGCCACAGGTCATCAACTATTGACAGGCATCGGGCGAGTTGGTCCCGCCTCCTGAAGGTCGCGGCGAGGTGTGTGGGGGGGCGCAGGGGGGTAGGGGATGAGGGGGAAGTAGGGAGAGAGGCAGGGAGGGAGGAATGGAGGGAGGGAGGAGGGGGGATAGGAAGGGGTGTGGGAAAGGTGGGAGAGAGTGAGACCGAGAAGTGCCAACACTGTTCGATACTGACACGTACATCACGCATATGGAACGCCACCCACCGTTGCCCCCCCCCCCCTCTCTCTCTCTCTCTCTCTCTCTCTCTCTGAATTCGTTGTATTACATCACATATGGGAACCAAAATGAACGGAGCACAAGTCACAGTAATGGAAGACAAAAACAAAACACACACATCCCACAAATACTGGATAAAAACACTAAATATTTCGGTCTCCAAACTGAGTCCGAGATAAAACAGTATTCCAGTGTTTTTTCTTGGGTTCTTATCAAGGAAATTGTGATCACTTTACCTAGCCCTTTTGACTGGACGGTAGAGCGACGGTTTTCTTTTCGTGCTGGTCGGCGTTCAATTCCCGACCGTCCAAGTGGTTGGGCATCATTCAAAATAATTACAATTTTGCCTAATCTGAGCAATTCAATTAGGTCTTATTAAAGTGAGGACAGTTCTGATATGAGATTAAAATTCGTAAAGGGATAATTCCATTTGATTCGTTTATTTATAGTTTTGCGGCCATCAGCGACCGCACATAAGGAGGTGATAGCCGAAGCTATTTGACCCCCCCCCCCGGCGGCACTTTGATGGTAATCTTGGGCATAGCTATTTCATCAAATCACTTCATTTTAGTGGGGCCACGTGAGCAACAAAAATGCGAACAAGCTTAAATGGTCCCCAAGCATATATGCGAATGAAAACGCCACACCCCAGAAGTGACTCGAACCCGGACCGCCAGGAGCACATTGCAACTGGTGACTCTTCACTATGCTATAAAGTAACTTCCCAACATAGATGCGCTTTCTGTCTTTCACTCAACAATGCAACATTCTCCTTGTGCTAGGATGAGTACTACTAACTGTTTAAAAAATTAGTTAGGATACTATGATCAACTCCCAACTAACACTGTGAATATATTCCTGTAGTGAGTGGCGTTATATTAACAGACACAAAAATATAGTTACCACCCACGTGTTAATATCACTGTATGTTTTGACCTCTTCACAACATAATGACAGGGAGATGATCATTCGCTTAAAAATGTTTCACACCGCGTTAGATCAGCAAACATCAGTTGATTCCGGTACATTCACCTCCATGATGCCCATAATTACTAATACTCACACTTACCGAGCCAGATTGTTCTTATGAGATAAAAGGATGGTACCTACCTACTATAGTGACGTGAGATCTTCTCCCAGTGCCCTTTCCGAGAGCGGCTGCGCGAGTTGCTCTTTGCTGGGAATATCTGTGATGTAGTAATTTTACCTGGACGAGATACTGCCTAGCGCTCAGTCGCCTTCGGTGCTGTGTTGTGGCAGCTCTTGATAGATACTGTGTTTACAATGGTGGCAGAGACACCATCACAGCTAGTGACGCTATTCCATGGCGTCACTCCTGGATGCTAGTGGAGGATAGTTTTAGTGTCCTCAGACCCATCACTATCCCGTTGAAGATATTGCCAGACTAAGCGTTCTGTTGCACTGCTATACTCTTCATGCTTACCAGCAGCTTACTCAGTTTAGCTCCAACCATGCAAGAATCTTCCGAGTGTTCTACGAGGGTCTCCACACGCAGCGACAAAATTGTAAGTCATTCACAACTGCGAATTCTTAGAAATTTTAAATAGAATTCAAAATCAAAACTGTCCTGATTAGCTGAACTTAAAATTGAACGAATCTAAGATATTTGGTTGGCCCGTTAGCTCAATCACAGAAGTTCAGTCTCACTAAAATTGAACTTATTATCTCTAATATATGCAAATAGTTTATATATATATATATATATATATATATATATATATATATATATATATATATATATATATATATATATATATATATATATATATATATACGGTAATATATAGAAACAAGATGACAGTAGACTTCGTACGCAAATAAGAATTTGTCAGTAAAAGTTTTGTCAAACCAAATGTGTTTATAAAGATGAAAATGGAGTGTAGTGAGGTGAGACAGGTGAAGGTTTTGTTAGGTCAGGCAAGTAAGGGTGTGATGAGGTTAGTTGTAAGTGGGTCATGAATTACAATTAAATAGTGCAAAGTATTATGGATATAAAGTATAGTGACTCTGTGTGTGGTGTATCTCTACGACTGGTGAATACCCAGGAAAGGTAAGCCACTATACCTGACACCCGCGCCACCCCCTGAACAGAGCAGGTGAGGTGTATTAGGCAACAGCCTTGACACTTAAATGTTACTGTACCCTTTGAGGCCAATGACGCCGACTCACATCAGAGAGATCCGAAGGAGATGCCTGGCTTTAAATAGAAACGTGTGGGCGGCGGTGACACAGTTTCACTCGATACTTAAGTAGACAATGGTAAAGGTTCTTTGACATTCATAATTATTACCCATAAGTAGCTGAGGATAGAGATGGTTGAGGAAACACACAGCCCTGCGGCTCACCATAGCCCGTGCTACTTGGAAGTTTTTGTTCCAAGTAACGAATCTTAAACAAACAACAAAAGAGATTGTTCTGCGAGATGTATACCTACATAGGGATGAATGGAAAAGATTCCACGACATTTACGTAGGGAAGGATATTGGTAGTTCTACGACATGTACACGTCTGTAGATATCGATGAAATGGACTCTACATCAAGTCCTCTATCACCCATAGTCAAAATTTATCACGTGAAGCTTTGCCTGTAAAGAACATCGACTTCCAGCGTATGACGCTTAAAAATTCAATCTGCATATGAAATAAGATATGAAGAGCGAATACATCCAGGTTTAGTATCCAGAGGAGATATTATGTCCAGGAATTCCTTCCCACCAGCAGGTCGTATTAACGCGAGATATTCTCTCATCCACAGGAGTCCCTGGACTGCAGAAGAGGCAGAGCGTCGTGGTTGAAGCAGCCCGGAGCGCCTCCCACCTCCGTCACCACCACCTCCGCCAGAAGTGTCGACTCCAGCGATTCCGGTATTTATGACCTGGATGACGACTACTCCTTCGTCATCACTGAGAACTCCCCGCCGGAGCTCATCAAGAGAGTCGAGGCGGACTTCACGCCTGTCGAAAACCTTGGTAAGCCCGACTGTCTCTCACCCATAATCCCATCAAGAACTTTGGTAAACACTCCCCTGTTGGAGAACCTTGGTGAACCTTCCCCTGTTGGAGAACTTTGGTGAACCCTCCCTGTTGGAGAACCTTGGTGAACCTTCCCCTGTTGGAGAACTTTGGTGAACACTCCCCTGTTGGAGAACTTTGGTGAACCCTCCCTGTTGGAGGACCTTGGTGAACCTTCCCCTGTTGGAGAACTTTGGTGAACACTCCCCTGTTGGAAAACCTTGGTGAACCTTTCCCTGTTGGAGAACTTTGGTGAACACTCCCCTGTTGGAGAACCTTGGTGAACCTTTCCCTGTTGGAGAACTTTGGTGAACCCTCCCTGTTGGAGGACCTTGGTGAACCTTCCCCTGTTGGAGAACTTTGGTGAACACTCCCCTGTTGGAGAACCTTGGTGAACCTTTCCCTGTTGGAGAACTTTGGTGAACACTCCCCTGTTGGAGAACCTTGGTGAACCTTCCCCTGTTGGAGAACTTTGGTGAACACTCCCCTGTTGGAGAACCTTGGTGAACCTTTCCCTGTTGGAGAACTTTGGTGAACACTCCCCTGTTGGAGAACCTTGGTGAACCTTCCCCTGTTGGAGAACTTTGGTGAACACTCCCCTGCTGGAGAACCTTGGTGAACCTTCCCCTGTTGGAGAACTTTGGTGAACACTCCCCTGTTGGAGAACCTTGGTGAACCTTCCCCTGTTGGAGAACTTTGGTGAACACTCCCCTGTTGGAGAACTTTGGTGAACCTTCCCCTGTTGGAGAACTTTGGTGAACACTCCCCTGTTGGAGAACCTTGGTGAACCTTCCCCTGTTGGAGAACCTTGGTGAACCCTCCCCTGTTGAAGAACCTTGGTGAACCCTCCCCTGTTGAAGAACCTTGGTGAACCCTCCCCTGTTGAAGAACCTTGGGGAACCCTCCCCTGTTGGAGAACGTTGGTCATATAGTATATATATATAGTAATTTAAATAGTAGTAATATATATAGTAGTTATATATATATAGTAATACCCATCCAGGGAGGGTTCTATATAGTAATGCCCATCCAGGGAGGGTTCTATATAGTAATGCCCATCCAGGGAGGGTTCTATATAGTAATGCCCATCCAGGGAGGGTTCTATATAGTAATGCCCATCCAGGGAGGGTTCTATATAGTAATAGCTATCATCATTTGCAATGACTTGCCATAGATAGCTAACACAAAATATAAAACTTGCCAAAGATCCTGAAACAATAAAGTTATCATCACCAAGGCTGTATAAGCAGAGTGCAACACCGTGAACAAAGCCATGAACAAATTAAATAATCTTTTAACCAAAATTTGCAGCTGCCAATTGGCCTTCTTTGTGCTACACATTATAATGATTATTTGACAAATTATGTAATTATATAATGTATTATCATAATTGCTTAGCTTATAATTATTAACGTAATTTAATGTATTACGTGTATACTTGAAAACTAATTATTTTTTTGAGTTTGCATAAGGTATTGTGTATTGGTATAATTATTATCACTATCAATATTATTATTATTATTGATACACAGATACACATTGATGCACACTAACGTGACTGTATCAATGAGAAAATCCGTAGGAGCTGTGTATTGGGTTTCGAACCTTGGCGGAACCTTACACCATGTCGTCGTCTAGTCGTCTAAAACGTATGCCTGGGAACACCCCCTACATTGGTTCGAACCCTCATCACAGCTCCAACGGATTTTCTCATCATTATTGATATTATTTTCTTTGCTATAATTATTATCATCTCTCTTTTTATGATCTTCATTACTACCTCCGTCGTCACCGCTGGTAGACTTGACGGTGACAGGCAAGCAGTGCCCTCGGCTCCTGAGCGGGTACCAGAAGGCCCGTCAGGAGGAACAGTCCATCCTGGAGTCCCTGCGGGAGGAGGGCTTCATCACCACTTCCAGACAGAAGGCTGGCAGGGGCGTCGCCTACGAGATCATCGAGGCTACCCCACAGACGGAGTCTGCCGGCAGCGGCAAGTTCAAGCCTAAGGTGAGGGAGAGAGAGAGAGAGAGAGAGAGAGAGAGAGAGAGAGAGAGAGAGAGAGAGAGAGAGAGAGAGAGAGAGAGAGAGAGAGAGAGAGAGAGAGAGAGAGAGAGAGAAGCTGGAAAGCTATTTCGTTTGGGTTTGAATTCTGACCAGGGGAAACCTGTTCTCCCGTATTCACTCTGCAGTAATCATGGACCTGGTTGTAAACCAATTTGCGACGCCTCAATCGGTTTACAACCAGGTATATCAGGTATACCAGGGGAAACTAGTAATGGAAGCCTTAAGAAGAGCAGTTGGAATAGAAAGCTCTTGGTCTGCTAACAGGAGTCACAAGTCAAGTGCTCCTGGCCCTACGTCCAAACAAAACAAATGGCTTTTCCTTATACCCAAAGGACCTCTCACCACCCCGGTTCACCTTTTAATGACCAAATATGATCGCTTGTGGGCTCATCCTGCCCTGACTTGCACTCAGCGCCTGACGACTGACCCGCCGAACCTTTCCTCCTTCAGGACTTCCTGCCGCAGGAGACGAAGCAGCATCTGGAGTCCCAGAGAAACAAACACAGCCTCCGGGACCTCACCCACGCCGACGTCTCCATGAAGATGCACCTGGCTAATGAGAGGAGACAGGTACGTCAACACCTGTCACTTCTGTCTTGCTCTCTCACGCTTCCGTTCTCTACCGTACTCTCCGTCACCTATTCTTTACTTTATTCTTTGCTAAGGGTTTCTTACCATATTGTCTGTCTCCTTATCCTCTGCTTCAAGTTATTTGCCTTGGCCTCAAGTTACCTGTTATCTGCTACATAATAATAATAATAATAATAATAATAATAATAATAATAATAATTAATAATATTATTATTACTGCCGTTTGGAGTTCCAAAGCAGACAACATCAGTAAAAATTAAAGATGTTTTGACCTTGTGTAGACTACACTCGCTTTCAATATTTGACCATTATAGTCATGTAAACAGTGAGACAGACAGGCAGACGTCTTAAGATACATAACATATAGATAGATACAAAGTGACAGGCAACAAGCAAAGGGGTAAAATTGACCGAACAGTTGAATAAATAATATAAAATATGCAGATAATTCTATTAGGATTATTTAACAAATGAAGTACGGTGGAACAATAGATAAAAATAACATCATTGAATGGTCAACAATGATCTTGATTCGCAGAAATAATTACTCATCAATAGATAACCCGATTTGATAGTGATAAGAGATTAACACATAAGACAAATATGGTATGTGAATTATTCTGTTTTTTTATCACAATACCATTAGTACAGTCTTAAAATAAATACATAAAAAAATCGATTTTATTTGAAAATAATGAAAGTCATTGATCACAGGCATTCGGCTACGTGTTGACATATGACGTCAGAGCGTACAAAGAGAGTTGCCACTTTATTAATTGATGCCCCTATTGATGCCTCTGTTGTTCCTTATGCTTTGCTATCTCACCTGTGTCATACCTCTCTTTCTTATGGCTCGTTCTTTATTTCGCAACTCATCAAGAAGATAAGAATGACAGTGGGAGTGTGACATTAATGGTAGAAGATGCACTCATATATTGTGGTTTATGTATAACCTTTATCACACTTTACAACCCTTACCACCAACCTCTCCACACATCACAACCCACACAAACACAACCTCCCTCATCACACTTTTAAACTCCCGCAACCACACCCGTGAGCAAGATGTCACACGACCTAAGATCATATTCACCCCAAACATCTACCACCGACGGGCTATTCATGCCCGTGCCATCTTTTGTGGTGGCTTAATCTTCATCAACAACAACGACACTCGAGAGAGGAGAATGCTCAGCCCATGTGTCACACCTGCAGGCGGAGCTGGAGTCGGTGAAGGAGCGGATGGCGTCCCTCTACAAGAAGGAGGACTCGGAGGACAAGCGGCGCCTTGAACTCGAACAGAAGATGACCAAACAGAACGATTCGGCGCTCGAGAAAAGGTCAGAAATCACCCGTGAAATATTTTAAAGCAAAAATATTTAGTAGCAAAAATTACATCGTACTTTTACGTCAAATATGTGTTGTTTTGTAAGTGTAATTTAATTTAGAGTTTTCAAACGTTATAATCTTCAAGACGTATAGCTGTGTCAAATTAAAACTTCCTTAATCATTACATTCAGGTAAACATTGGAAATTGTTTACAACTGCCAAACGTGATTTTGTAACAAGTCTGTCTATGTTTACCTGCTAATACAAACTACAATATACATTCAAAATTGTTTTAGAATTGAATGGACGTATTTTGAATCAATCCAATTATACTCTTGACCTTAACCCTACCTACCTCCCTGTCCCCCAACTGTAAAGAAGTCATTGATGTGACCCAACTGAGTCCGGAATTGGGTTGGATCTAGTTAGGTAGGGTCTCATGACCTTAAGGGGATCCGGGAGGGATAGGAGCATCCCCTCCTCAATAAATCCCTACAAATAAATCAGTTACGTCAATACGATCCCTGATGGTGTGTGAATGTGTGTATTGGGGTAGTATTCTCTAATTTTAAGCAGGTTTAGTGAAAGATAATTGCATATTTGGCTAGAAAGGGTTGTCTGGATCCTCATAACACAGATGCATTGTCCAGTGTAAGAATGATTATTAGTTTGCCGTGTCCCTTTGTTGATATAAATTGTTAAATAAGAATTTTGCACACAAAAATGTTAAACAAGAAGAAATCCGTCTGTTTTGCTCTATTAACTTGGCTTGTTTGTTGCAGGGAGGCGCACTTGAGGGAGCTGCGAGACAAGCTTCAGGCCAAGAACAAGAGGGCCCAACACGTAAAGCTGAAGAAACTTATCAATGGTCCTCCGGTTCCGGTCCCTCTCGGACCCACCTCTCGAGCCTTTAATGGCAAAAACCTAAGTGATAATTTCTTTGACTAGTGATCGCAATATTTAAATGTTGTTGTGGTTGCTGTTTTATCAGAGATTCAGTTGAATTGAACACTGAAGCCCATTGTGTCTCTCAAATAAGCCTTGATAGCGTTAGACGCGTCAGATGATGTGTTCACGTGAATCTACAGAACAGGAAAACTGTGTGCAGATCAGTTAATGTCTGCACCAGATGGAGACGGGTTTCTCACAAACTATCTGAGAAAAGGGGTGTTGCCTTCGCGTTGAAGGGTTGGCCGCTACAACATGGATCCTTACTTGAAAACCCTTCAAGGTGGTAATCTTAAGAGTGCTGCCGTCATTCTATGATAAAGAAGGCATTAATGGCTGATGTTGTTGTATAAAGGCATAGAATATCTCTCCTTTGGTTCCATACCACACAACTGAGGTGTCACAGCAAATATTCGGGCAATGAACAAATAACTCCCTTCCCCAATGTATACTGCATACATTCACTTTAAAACCGATGTGTCCTTATGTTAAAATATTTTATACATTACCGTATTATATACTACTGTATTGTATAGGAATGTGAGAGTTTAGAATATGACAAAACTATAAACCGACATTATAATTGTATAACAATATCAAGATTGTGTAATAATTTCAAGGTTGAATGACAACATCAAGATTGAATAACAGTATCATGGTTGCACGTATCCTGTTAATATAATACAATTCCACCAAAATGGGTTAACATTGTGAGGAAAATATACATATTAACACTATTTGTGCACTTAGAAGCAATTTTGTATCCCACAGAGAATGAATAGACTGACAAGTGTGATTTGTGAAATTTAAACAAGAAAATCTGATACATATAAGAATAGTGTGGACGTCTTTACATGTTTCAAGTAAAAACGATACAGAACCAATATATTTTTATGGGTAGAACATTAAGACAATTAATATTCATATCCGTTCTACTGACAACATGAACTACACAATTTGTAATAATTTTTCCATACACTTACCTGAGTAATAAAAAAAATAAACTGGGTCTATCTATAGCTACAAGGTCATTTAAATGGCCCAATCAACTACTATAAGGTCAGTTAAATGGCCCAACCAACTACTATAAGGTCAGTTAAATGGCCCAACCCATTACTATAAGGTCAGTTAACTGGTCCAATCCATTACTATATGGTCAGTTAACTGGTCCAACCCATTACTATAAGGTCAGTTAACTGGTCCAACCCATTACTATATGGTCAGTTAACTGGTCCAACCCATTACTATATGGTCAGTTAACTGGTCCAACCTACTACTATATGGTCAGTTAACAAGGTCGATCAACTAGACCTGCTGACTGCTGCAAGGTCGAATATAATTACCGTGATTTGAATATGGATTAAAGTTATTTACAGTAATCTGTTAGGTGAAATGTTGTGCTAATTGTGTTGATCAAGGCATTGCTTAGCAGCAGGAGCTGTGAACACTGTAATATGTGTGTGTCCCTGTATCCGTATCCTCCGTCTTGTCCCAGCTACGATAAATGTATCATCCTCCGTTCATCCATATATTAGTTAATTATTATCTATAAGGGAATTTATGTTAAAATTATACTTATCTCTTGTTGCAATCAGTATTCTAAGTGTCTTTATTCATGTATATAGAAAAGAGGACTTGAGGACTTGATGAACACGTCCAACGGGAAAGTAATTAGTAAGGATACCAGTTAACGATTCTTCAGAGTAAGAGCGACGAGCAAGTATAATAAACTGGTTAGAGTAGATAGAAAAAGGATTAAAAAAGTGTATAACAGGGCCATAAAAGCGCAAAGCCGAAGCATATCAGATGAAACTTTAAAATACGTGGCTGTACCTTAAACACTGTGAAGACTACTTGATAAACATCCCTCACATTTTCAGTACTTCTAAACAAACTATTGGAGATCTTGACTGTATGTACTCAACTTTTACTTTAAATGACGTACATGTATGGTATTTATATAACATTTGCCGCATCGCTAACGTACTTCATGGCTGCCTTGAGAGCCGATGTCACAAGAGGAATATTTATATATATATGGAAACATTTTTACTAGCTACAACAGTGCTGATCAAACTAGGTGTTTTCTAAAGTGTCACGGAGAGCCAAACACAGAGGAGAATACAAACTGCTTTTTATAACGTGGCAGGATGTTAATGACTGATGATGCACATATGTAGATACAATATATATTTATATATAAAAATACGCTGTGAATGGTACAAATTTGCATAGTAGTTTCTATATTCCTTGTATCATATACTTTCTTCCCTTATTATTTGTAAATTAAGAAGGTATATGGATTGACATTAAAATCTTAGCATATAAGGCATCTGAATCGGGTGTGTCTTAAAAAAAAAAAAAGTGCCTGCTAGCACGATATTGTTCGGTGTATTTTGGTGAAGGATCACCCTACGCATTGTAATCTGTCTTGGTGAGTCATCTGCTTGACTTAATTTATTTTGCGTTTTGGTGAACAGTTCTGTGTAAATGACGGTAGTTACTGCCTTTGTGAGTTTGTTCATTGCAGTCACTACCTAGATAAGGTAATCTGATTAATACACTGTAATCTGTCTTTGCGAGGTGGCCTCTTTAATTCATTTTTCTGACTTGGGAAAGTGGTTTCAATGCAGGCTGTATCTTGGTGAATTAATCTGAAGGATTCGGTGCAGGCTACCTAATTGAGTTGGACTGATTAATCTATTTAGGTCTGTGCCTAGGTGAAGCAGGTTTAATCGTTACAGCATGTCTGAGTGCAGGCGATGAGACACAATAACATGGCTGAAGTATGTTGACCAGACCACACACTAGAAGGTGAAGGGACGACGACGTTTGGGTCCGTCCTGGACCATTCTCAAGTCGATTGTCAAGGTTGACTTACTCCTTGTGGTGTTTTATAGCAAGGTGTACTGATTATACCTTGGTGAGGTGGCCTGAATGATACTTTGGGCTCTTGGCCTTCATGAGATGGTTTGACGGGTCTGCTTTTCTATGTATAATTTATTTGTTTTCTACTGATTGACATCGGATTGTTTAGTGGAGTCGAGGGCGTCAACATAAACAGGGATGAAGACACAGCAAATTTAAAGGCAGTGTGGTACATACCTGCTTGTATTTGCTGCCGTGTCTGGGCCCCACGAATCTGTCCCGGGGGGTATTCATGCCTCCGCGTACATGTGGGCCTGTCTATCCCCACGCACCTGTTCTGGGAGGTATCCATCCATGTCGTCGCGTACCCATATCTACTCTGTTCCTCCAGCAAATCAAACCAAACTGCTACTGGAAAGAAATATTTGTGATACTATGAATGGGAATTATGAAAGCTCTACTTGATTGTATATATTAATTGTGATTTTATATTTTATAATTTTATATATTAATTATGATTTTATATATTAATTATGATTTTATATATTAATATTTTCATTATTATACACAATGTAATCACAGGAAACGTAATGTGTCTGTTATTAAATATTGAAGCTATGTACTGGGATCGGACTTGCGCCACAGCAGATGAAACACGATGAAGTATCTCAGCCAGAAGTACTATCAGACATAAATAGCGTTTGGAAGGCTCTACCCAGTACCACAGTCCACGTTCTCCGAGATATCCGCCCCACATTCGGGTACCAGTCCACACTCAGGTATCCGCTCTCACTCCGATATCAGTAGAGAGTGTGGGAAGTTCAGGAATGTGAGATCGATCCCATTGTATAGCCTCCATACTTTATCATTATCATAATAATTATTATTATTTGTATTTGTTTTTTTATTTGTGTTGGACTGTACATGTACAGGGGAAGGATGGTCTGTGAACGCCAGCAGGCTGTGAACGCCTGCAGGCTGTGAACGCCTGCAGGCTGTGAACGCCAGATGCTGCGATTTCACTTTCTCATTTAGGGAGGAAAAACAAGAAAAAACTGAAAACAGGGACGAAGACTATTTTCGCCTGATGATCTTTTACGATTTCTGTTCCAGCCTGAGTATCATTTAACTACTCATGAGTTCATGTCGAGTACCATTGCTTTAATCATGTATCATAATACCCGATATATTTACTAGAGAACAATTCCAACGTCTGCATATTTTGACATGAGCATATAGTGACATGTGCATAATTATCTACTGTAATGTATCTCTCTTTGGGAAAAATAAAATGACACCATGTTGACGTCTGTTATTTAGAAGGGAGTGTATCCTCGCTGACTGTATTCTTGCTGAGTGAGTTCTTGCTGACTGTATTCTTGCTGAGTGAATTCTTGCTGAGTGTATCCTCACTGACTGTATTCTTGCTGAGTGAATTCTTGCTGACTGTATTCTTGCTGAGTGAATTCTTGCTGTGTATCCTCACTGACTGTATTCTTGCTGAGTGAATTCTTGCTGAGTGTATCCTCACTGACTGTATTCTTGCTGAGTGAGTTCTTGCTGACTGTATTCTTGCTGAGTGAATTCTTGCTGAGTGTATCCTCGCTGACTGTATTCTTGCTGAGTGAGTTCTTGGTGACTGTATTCTTGCTGAGTGAATTCTTGCTGAGTGTATCCTCACTGACTGTATTCTTGCTGAGTGAGTTCTTGCTGAGTGTATCCTCACTGACTGTATTCTTGCTGAGTGTATTCTTGCTGAGTGTATTTTTGCTGAGTGTATGCTTCTGAGGAGACCGCTGGACCTATATGAGGCCACGTAATACCTATAGTCTAACTTATTTACAAATTTGAGCCTTTTCTGGACTATCTCCCAAGTTTCAGGATATTGTTGACGTTCTTGCATGGGATATAATCCACAAGTTAATGTCGCTTTTTGGCCCCCAGTCTGTGACACAGCCAATAGAAAATTTATCTTATTAGCGCTAATATCATTACCACCTAAACCTGTTTGTTTAGGTGTTGTTGATAGGCTGTTCACAGGGGATAATGAATAAACAGTTAATAATGAATTATGAATCCCACTACCTTAGAATATTAGGTTCGACTGGAAAGAAATCACCTAGTTTGTCAGGTTAAAGCCAACACTGAATGGGTGACCGTCCGGGGAGTCTTGTCATTGGTTAAGGGGGAGGAGGGGGGAGGGGGGGAGGGGGTCGATACGCTTAGTTGATTTTAATTACTGTTCATGGTAAATGGACAGTATGTACAGAACATACAGTTGTTGTTGTTATAGATCCAGCTACTTGGAACAAGTTCCAAGTAGCACGGGCTATGGTGAGCCCGTAGTGGACTTACCTGGCACAGGAGCGGTGCTGTGGAACATATAGTTTGATAAACGCTTAAAAATGGAATCACCGAACCACCACACTCCACCCGATCAACGGTAGGTGGGAACTTTATTACATGTGAATTGAATGTTTTGATTTGGCATGCCTGGGACCATCGAACTATGAACAGGACTGTTGTGCACTGGTCACCCATCCAGTGATAAGAACACCCTGACCAAGAAAACAGACACGTAGACCGCGTTCATCAGGTCATGGCTGGACCTCGTTTAGTTTAATGGTAAGAAAACGATTCAACTTTAAGTGATTTGAACATCTGTGTGTTCAGTTTAGTTCACGGAGTGAGCACTCCATACCCATCCCCTGGGTGGCAGTGGAAAACGTATAACAGAGCCACATAATGGGCTCGGGGATTGAACCCAAGTGTGAAGTGAAACTTTTGTCTTTCAAGATATCAAAATATTCAAGCCTCTGTCGTAATTTCTGTAACAAGAATAATTAACTTACAGCTTGGTGGAAAATATTATTTGTTACTTGTGAAGATATTATAGTTATTCTCTACAAAGTTTCCATTTTCTGCATTTGAATTTAATTCCAACTTTCTGTAAATTTTAAGGGGTAACTAATGTATTGAGAGTAAATTTGTATCTTCATGTTAGTTATGTAAATTATAGTTACTTTTGTTGGAGACAGGAAGCCTGTGTATATATTTATATATACTTTACAATTGTATTAAGGTCCTTCCAATGTCGAAAAATTGACCTTCCTCAGAACACAACCTCACAACAGTTGTCTAACTCCCAGGTACCTATTTACTGCTTGATGAAATGAGGCATGAGGTGATAGGAAACGTGCTAAGTATTTCTGTCTCATTTGGGAATTAAACCCGGAATAAATCCATAATGCTAACAATTAGCCAAAAAATTAATAGATTAACAAAAATCATGAGTTGTCAATGAGAAGACCAACAAAAGTTATTTCCAAACAATACAAATATACTCCGCCATTAACCAGTAAAACAAAAAGCCCCAAGAAAACACCATAAAAATATTTAACAACTGAACGGAATCATTTAAAAAACAAATGAACACTTTTTCACGCCAATAGGATCAAATCTCACATATATCAATTATTATGAATCGAATATATATATATATATATATATATATATATATATATATATATATATATATATATATATATATATATATATATATATATATATATATATATATATATATATATATATATATATATATTACTATTGTCGATGTAAATAATGAAGGAATCATGGACCAATAATAATTACTAGAACAAACAAGACAATGAGAGCTCGCCAAACATACTATCGTCTACATAGATTGCGACCGTAAACACACATATTGTAAACACACAATAGTTGGTGTGACTATTAGGATGTATCTCCCACTTGCTGAGAGATATATTATATCGAATTTCTTTTCCCTGTGAATCCCAGTTAAGCTTGAGCACCATATATATATGTATATATATACAGGGCGAGCGGTGTGTAACAATTTATGTTGGTCTTCAGCATTCTGCACACGCGCACAGCGACGTCCTTCAGAGCCTAGCAGCGCTGCAGGCATTAAGAGCAAAAGTAAATTGCTCGCTACATCCTGAAGGGAACGGAACCTCTGTCAGGGAAGACCCACCTCAGGCAGCCCACCTTCACTACCCGGCTGGGCTGCCATGGACCTGTCTGCCGTACGTGATGTGATCCTCGTAAGTTCTTTCCTAATACGGGACCATCTGATTGATTGATGAAGATTAAGCCACCCAAAAGGTGGGACGGGTATGAATAGCCCGTAAGTGGTGGCCCTTTTGAGCCATTACCAGTATCAACAGCTGATACTTAAGATCTGTGGAGGTGCGACTGCACCCTGCGTGACGGGAGATGTCTCCCGTGGGATCAGCTGTCGCAAAGCCCTCTATATTAGGGGAAGATCTGACTTCCGTTGGCAGGCTTATGGAGCTTTCTTGTAGCTCATCTTAAATCTTACACTAATAGTTTACACTGGAGCACGATCCGCCATTCGATTTGGAACCAAGTCACCAATTACTACTTGGTGGACAGGAGCGTCGATACCGATTAAATATATTTGTCCACGCGTCACTCCCTGCCCACCAGTAGCCGTACAAGGACTAGACCACACACAACACTGAGGACAGTTCACAGACAAATCACAATAACGTGATATAACATTGAACAAATTCACAATGTACCGTATAACGGTACAGTTGACTATAGAGAGCATCAGGGAACACTTAGTGCATAGGTTCGAATCCTCATCAAGGCCCTTGTGAATCTGTTCACTGAGAGCAGTAGTAACCCAAGCAGTAGTAATTTCAGTAGTGACTTTACTGAGAACAGTGGTAGCTTATTGTCGTCATTGGAAGCCACTGCTGACAGTCAGCGTTTTGTTTGGAGTTGTGTTTGGGTTCCTTCTTTTCTTGATGAGAGAGGGAGGGGGAGAGCGGAGGGAAGCAAGGGTGATGGCGAGGCGGTAAGATGATGAGAGGACTGAAAAAAAAGTCCTTCACTGACCTTTGTCTTATAAAACGTACGCTTATATCCCTCATCGCGCTGAAAGATACAGAGTATTACAGAGTATACCCTAAAATATATCAAATAAATTGTCTGCTTTCAACTAAATAAATAAATAAAAACATTTTCACGTTATATATATATATATATATATATATATATATATATATATATATATATATATATATATATATATATATATATAGCCAGAAATATATATATATATATATATATATATATATATATATATATATATGACGTAGAGATTTAATACTGTACGGGGAAGGATGTTCAGAAGTCGATGTTTTACGTACGGGTTTTCCAGGGTGTCCGGACATCGTTCCCCGCTGTACGAACGTCATAAAAAGAGACGGTTAAGGTAGACGGGCATGGAAGAGGGGATTTCCCGGCGGAGGGATGGCGCCTGGAAAAGGTATCTGGGAGAGACTATATGTATAGTTTTTTTTAGTAAAGGAGGAAGTGGAACGGGTGGAGTGAGTGTTGAGGAAATTTCCATGGTGTTGAAATGGGACATATAAGATGAGTTACGATCAGCTGGTGGCTTACGGGCTCACCATAGCCTGTGCTACATGGACACTTCGTTCTGAGTAGCTAAATCTAAAACAATAACAACAGCTGTTGGCTTACTCATGCTTACCTATCTTCCTAGGTAAAAGAAACTGTCCATTTGTGTCTGTCTCGTCCGGCAATCGAACCCGGGTCCATGGACTCCCCGAACAGTGTGTGCTTGTATGGGAGGGAGTTGGGGGGAAGGGAGGGTGGCGAATAACAGTATTCAGTTATCTTTCAATTCAGTTTTAATTTGATTTAGTTTCTCTCAGGTTTTTTCTTCTCTGTTGAGTCATTCTCTGTCATTTATTTTAAACCTTTTTCGCGATCTCTCTCTCTTTCTTATTTACTGTCGAATAACTGCTCTTCCGTTCTCCTGCATATTCCATTGCTTCCTGTACCTCAATATTGATGGAGAATGTTGCAAATAATAAAATGTAATTCCAAACAACAGAAGTTCCGAGGTACATCGCGAGATTTTCAGACTGTGGGGTCGAGAACATATTGTCTCCTCATATTAATAAATAGTTGGGCTATGTATACACCGTGATCCATCAGGCTCTGCAGGCCAGCCAGTGACAATAAATTATGAAGAATGTGAAGGACTGACGTAAACATATATTAAGATAAAGCCGCAACAACACAAAACAAATCGGGGTTATCTTGAGGTTATCTTGAGATGATTTCGGGGCTTTAGTGTCCCCGCGGCCCGGTCCTCGACCAGGCCTCCACCCCCAGGAAGCAGCCCGTGACAGCTGACTAACACCCAGGTACCTATTTTACTGCTAGGTAACAGGAGCAGAGGGTGAAAGAAACTCTGCC